TCATTGGTGGTTGAAGACTAAATGACTGAAAGTTCTATGTTTATAATTTCAGATCGCAGTAGGACCTGGTGTCGGTAAATACGAAGCATTAGTGACTTATGTTATCAACGAAAACAGATTTGAGATAAATTCAAGAGACATATCAAGGACTAACGCGTAAGTAACAGAATTATTAAAATCTATTTGTCTATACTGGGTGCAATACATAAACTAATGAGTTTTAATAAGAATTGATGACAGCCTCAAATTATTTTCACAATGCATCCGTCATTATATGTATATATATATATATATATATCGGCGCTATCAGCTTTATATATTATATAATACAAGATAATATACTAATAATATATTATATATATTACAGTTACAACAACGAGCCGAGCTGTATAAGCGCCACCCACCCTCACCTCAACATGTACTGCTACTGTAACCAATAGACATTAACAATATTTAGTATTAAATGAAAACATTATATGAATATGTTTTTATATTATATGTGAAAAGAATTATATATATAATAATAAAATACAACATCAATGTACATGTTATTCTGTAGGTGAATATAATGTTCTACTGTGATTGTTAATACACATGTCTTTCTTTATATGTAATATTATATAATTGGCACAAACTATTGTTTTAGTATCAATGAAGACATGTTTATACTCGGTATGTATTCAGTTCAAGTTGTTTATAGCGGGGAGATGTGTTAGTGTTCCTAACGTTAATTTATTAGACCTGTAACGTTAGTATTATCTGTATATTAACCTCTCTTATAATTATTAATATTATTATAATAACTCGGTAAGATAATAATCAGTTTCTGTTGTAATATATACAAAAGTTTACCAAATATTTTTTTAATTTATTCGTACTTAGAATATGTTGTTTTTGTTTTGGTGTTATTTATAAGATATCTAAATTTTTCTTCACACTCTTTTTGTTTTCTAGTATATTTTCTTTCGTATTAGTAATTTCGGCATTTTTTAATATTTTAGTAAAATGTTTTATTCTTGTAAATGATGTTAATCTGAAATTATTATCAACGCCATCTACATCATATATTTGGAACTTCATTGCATAATGTTTAAAGTATGAACATTAAAAAGTGTAAAATTTTGCAAACATGTTGTATTTGATCGTCTTCTCACATTATATACGTCTAGCTTACCTCTTAAAACTTGTGTTTTCACATATTTTTTTTAGGTATTAATTGTAATTCTGTGAATTTGTAAAACTCTTTAGAAATATGATTTTTGTTGATTAGTTCAGTCTTTAATAATATGCTTTTCTATGTCAATTTAACACTTTCATTTCTAAATTAAAATCTATTGTTGAACAGTTCTATTTATTTATGTAAAAATCTCAGTTACCAATATAATTCTCTGATTATTTTTAAATTTTTGGAAGTGAAGTAAAGTACATAATAATAAAATAATATTGTAAATGATATTGTAAATTATAAGGAGTTGATGTATAAAGAGTCGCGGATACTAAATAATTATTTTAATGTATAAGTTCCTTAAAACATAAATACCGTTTCTTAATGGGATTCGTCTAGTTTTTATTTGATTAAATCTAGCCAAATATAAATCTTGAGATTTTTGTCTGTTTTGTTGTTTGCTTTCAAATAAATTTGGATTTTGAAATTGGATTGCGTTTTCATATTTGAACCTCATGATTCATAATTTTTAAAATCAAGATTTATACACCGACCTCTTCAAAATATTCACGAAATTACAAATGGCAAAGTGCAATAGGAAAGTGACTTCTATATGTGAAAATACGTTTTGAATTTAGTATAACATAAAACTGCAATATATGTTACTGACATTGAGATTTAGTTTAGCGTATTTCTAAAGTCACATAGTCGCCAGTGATAACAAAACCTTAAAATGTCTTGAAATTCCGTCGCCATCAATCTAAAACTGACTGAAAGAAAATCATTCCTTTTGTACATGAAATAGTGAAGAATTGAGACGATATTACTTGTAACTTAGAAACCAAAAACTCTTTAAATAAATATATTGAAAATATGAAACTTTAAAATGCGTGACGTTTATTCATTCGGTTCGGTAGTTAAAATATTTAGTAGAGGGAAAGGCAGCAAAAGCGAATACATCAAACCTAGGGACAGCTCTAAATTTTGGAAATGGAGCTTTCTGGTCCCTAGCAAAAATATTCTTGCGAAACTTCTGTCAGCTCAACTATCGGGTACCATTTAGATTACCCGATTTTATGACAGAGCTCCTCATTTGTAAAGCCAGGACTGTTTATACTTAAGTGGTAATCACGTTTACTGTATTTATTTATATCAAAGATATTTTTTGTGAAGAAATATTTGACAGCAATAAAATAGTAAACTGAATGTCATCAGTGTCAATCAATATTAAATGGCTGTATGTTTTTTGTAAAAAGCGCGTGTGAATTAAATTCGTATCTTTATTTTGATCTCCTTTTGATGTTAAAGAATGTATAATAATATTTTTTTAATACTCATTTGAATTCTTCTGTGATTATTTGATAATAATTGAGATAAAACTAACTTTATAAAATTATACCATAATATATATGAGCATCTTCTATATATTTAAAAAAACGAAATATTTAATGTTTTGCAAAAAAGAGATTTAAGATATAATTCGATCAATATAATTACTAAATGTTTGGTTTTAATACTGTTATTAGTATTGAATTATGTTAGTAATCAAATATTTTCACTTAATTCTATTATAGATCAGTCTCCTCTTAGTTCATAGTACGTTTATCCATACTTATACTTTCACTGAGAATCGTTGTAATTACTGAACAAGGTCTCTCACGAGCGATCTGCTTTAGGAAAGCTCTTATTGACCTTAGATCCTACTTCATTGATATTAAACAATATACATATATTGTTTTGATTTATATAAATACGTTGTTATTTATAATTTAATATCAATAATTTACGTAAAGAAATTCAAACGAGTAATCGATTTATTCCTTGGTAAATTGATACTGTCAGCTATGAACATATAAAGTAATAACAGTAATATGTTGAGGTATTACAGAGTTATACTAATCAGGACACGCTTTAAGTCTTTCAGGTCACTCGTCTCACAGACGCTTGAGTTTTCCGTCAGAGGGCGACACTGTCAGGACACACAAACACTCACATGAGATACAGAACAGTGACTAGAACAAGGTTATGTAACTTATTAAAAGGTGATTATGAAATATTTGGTTGTTGAAGACGATAATTTATTATAATAAATATACCTACTCCCTACGTTTCAATTGCTGTAAAGTAAAATTAAAATCACGTATGTAGTATATCCGAAAATTATTAGTTTCATTTAAATTAATTCTCGTGAAAACTTAGATATCATTACATTCATAAGTTCTTATTTTCAGTATAATTTTCATAGAGAATTAAAATAAATTATTAGTACAAATAACATATCAGAGATATAAAGTCGAATATTTATTAATGATTAAATCATTCAATTAATATAAAACATTTTCCATAAGTCTGTTCTATTAATACATTTCTTATTATTTTTAATGAGTTTTGCAACTTTATTAAATGTTCTAAATATATCTTTCTGTATTACGAAAAAAAACCAATTAAATGTATGTCGGTAAGCGATCTCGATCATACGTTAGATAAAGTCGTGAGCTTCATCAAACAATATCATGTAATTACATTGAGGTCAGTTATCTGAAATAAAAAGCACTAAACGCCTCACATTCCGTGTTACTCAAGAGCACGTGCTATGCTAAGTATTTTGATCATCACTCCGAGCAAGGACGTTGGTGAAGAGTGGTCTTACACTTGTTATGTTCTTTTTGTACTTTGAATAAAGTTATATGTGAATTACATAATTATACTTAGAGAGAAGATTCTCATAATCAGCATGTTATGTGTGTGTTATATATATACAGGGTGACTGGTGAATTACTATCGATACTTGAGGACGTGATATTTGACGATCATATATGACAAAATAAAAATTAATATATCATAAATATTAATAAACTTCTAAGTAAAGTTTAACCAAAAGTTATGTAATTAATTACGCATCGTGTGAACACCCTACAGATTATACACACACACACACACACATACGCGTGCGGCGGCGTGGTGTTGTATCAGCACGCCGCCGCACGCGTCCACACTTGGAACGTGTCCTCACTTTATTTATTTATACCCTAGCTGCCTAATTTAATACTTACGTTTTATGTCCTAGAATTTAACATTTTAAGTTTATGACCAAAATGATTGATATATTTCTATTGTGCTTTACAACTGTTTTTATATTTTTGTAGGCTTCAAAAATAATAATAAAAAAATGGTAGTATGAAGAATAAAGTAGAAATTAATAAAGACTTGATTAAAATATAATATCGATACCCATAATAGGGAACATAAAATAATGTAGTAGATAAAATATGGTTTGAAATAACTCATAAATCGTTTATGATAAATATTTTAATGTTGACATTTTATGAACAGATTTTAACTATAAACTTATTTAATTAGTAATAAACTTAAAACTGATGTATATGGAATATACAAGAAACGAACAAAATGATATAATACTTTGGAAGTTAAAAGTTTTTTAATATCTAAGATTTTCGCGAGTACTTACTCATTTAAATTAAACTAATATTTTTCTACTACTTTTCAGCAACTTTTTAGCCGAAACGTCGGGAGTATGTAGTTTTCTAATCAAAAATAAAACGCGAAGTAAAATCCGAAAATATTAGTTTCATTTAAAAGTTCTTAATAACACTATGTACTGTAAACGTTATTTGTATTCTTATTATTTGAAAAGTCTGAACGTGAGACCCATACTAGAACAAAAGAGAGTACCTACCCTTCTCTCTATTTTTGTGATAGCGTAGAAGGTGGTAGAATTTGCTATAACTTGGGCATTATATAAATGTGTGCTGCTATTGTAAAAATTTTTGAAACGTAAGGTTGGGTCCGTATCTGAAAGGACTGTGAGTTAAGGATGTTTGTGGAGAAGAATACTTGTCTGGAGCCGCTTTTTGGTAGTACTTCTCAAAATAATGATGGTGGTAGTTTCGAAATTACTTTTACATCAGGTGCTTTGCGCATTCTATCAAGAAAGTCTTTGCATTATGACTGCGTGTTAAACTTAACAAGAAATTAAGAGGTCAAAAGATTAAGATATATTTAATAAGCTTATTTTGTTGTAGTAGTAGTATATTTTCAATGAAATTTTTTTTAAGTCATTGCCTTTTTTGTTTGTCCAAACATTGTTTTAAAAGATTATATAAAGTGCAGTGATTTAATGTCCTGTTTTGGTCTGAGTCCCTTCTGAGTGGTTGTATACTACATATATTTCATTGGCATTGGTTCAAAGGGAATCAAAGAAAACGACGACTCAGGTCTCGGTGTCTTGTCGGTGTAAGAATCCTACAAGCATTCTCCTGTATAAGTTTGTTATACCGAAATACAATCGGTTTCTGGTAGAGAAATCAAATTAAAACAAAACTCGTGTCCCTTTTCTCCATTTTATAATTTCAAGTTTATGACCAATATCACAACGGAGTATCAGAAATATAACAGAAAAAGGTTTCTTTATAAATTTATATTCAATTTCATTTCGTAAATCAAGTTCATTGTTTATTCCTGATCATAATATATTTAAGAACTCTTACTTCACTAGATGTAATGAAATGAAAAAGATGAACCCCAACTAAGGAACTTTATCTCTATTATAAGGTACTTCTTTATTAAATTAAAATTAACATTTAATAATAAATCTATTTTTCTGTACTTGTTATATTAATATTTAAAATAGTCATAACAATCTAGATCTTATCTATACATATAATAAAATTGTAGAAAAGTGCTGTCTGTACATTGAAAATAAAAATAAAAAAAATAGCAGGGGTTATTGTTATGTCGATGTCGAACCCAAAAATGTAATTAACTTTTTTTTTTGTCTGTTTGTCTGTTCACGCTAATCTCAGAAACGGCTGATCCGAGTTGGATGCGGTTTTCACGAATATATTGTGGTATGCTTCAGTTATGCTTTACTGTTTGTTTCACGTCAATCGGTTCATAAATAAAAAAGTTATGTCAAAAAACGCTGCTCAAAGTCACTATTCCACGCGAACGAAGTCGCGGGCACAGCTAGTCCTACATATTTTTGATATCTAAATACATTATTGTAAAAATTAATTAAAATAAGTTTAGCAATTTCTATGTAAAAGAATGACGGACATCTGCACAACCATAAATTGTATAATGATATCGTTTTTATAATATACTACGAGTAGCTGCGCCCCGCGGTGTTATCCTCGGATTTCCGGGATTTCCGAGATTTCCGGGATGTAAAGTAGCCTATGCATTATTCCTGGACGTCAGCTTCTTGTAAACAAAATTTTATCAAAATTGGTTCAGCCGTTTTGAGCGTGAAGAAGTAACAAACATACACACACACTCACAAACTTTCGCAATTATAATATTAGTAGGATAACGAACAAGTTAAATTTAGGTAAAGAAGGAAAAAAATTCGTTATCTGAATACACTTACCTTATAAAGAATCTTAAATATTTAGGAATATGTATAGTTCTTTGAAAGCACTCCGATAGATTTTTTAACCTCCATAATCTGTTGAGTTCTGTTAAACAAAGATAATGTTTCCTTAATTATTATTTAAAGTATTTTATAACAGAGACATCGCAAATTTAATTGACAAAGATTTGATTGTTTCGCAACTCGTTTCAGGGTCTGTGTTCTGTGACACGGTTTATGAGAGTATTGAAACTGTTAACATCTGAGTAAATATTGTCTATAGAGAGCCGAATGACATTCGTTAACAAAGAGACCTAGCTGTTCATTTAATATGAGACTGAAAGACGTGCTGAGGTGTCAGAGTGGTTAAGGAGTTGGACTTGAAATCCAATGGGTTTTACCCGCGCAGGTTCGAATCCTGTCCTCAGCGGACTATTTTTTTTTACTTTAATTGCATTCAAAACTCTTTGATTTCAGTTATATTCTTGTTAAAACAGAATTGATAAGGAAAAGTAGCCGTAAAATGTGTTAACTTCGTTAAAAGATTTCTTTGAAATCTCAATATGAATCATTACTCTCATACCGTTCTAGGAAGACGCCGGCGGTCACCGCGTCCTACTAATGATGCTAATATAGATATATTTGTTATTTCTTAATTCATTCATGATAAAAGGATTCATACAGTTTAGGGTAAAATGTTGTAAATCATGCAGCCTGAGCTTCTAGTCTAAATATCGTGTTTCTTAAGGCAACACACTAAATAGATGTATTTTTCAGGAAATGTTCTAAGAACAAGTCACTATCAATGTTTTTTTTATCTTAAATATTTATTCGGAGGTTCAAAGTTACAGTGAAGTATGTGTTATTTATATTTGTTATATGTATAATATTAGATATATAAATATATTTACATCAGATCAGATTCCTATTATAATAAGCATGACAACTAATGTCTCTATATTTGTGTCACAGGAACGTATCGGAATGATTATCTACTTGAACGTATTTTTTATTTTTCTTTCTAAGAATGTTTATCCAGAGATTATTGGACATATTTAAAGATTATTATTTTTGAACTTTATGATTTTAGACTTGGTTATAAGTAATATGATAGCTACGGCTCTAAATATGGTGACAAGCATAATTCGGAGGATAACCTGAACGTTGCAAACACTAGCACATTTATAGTTTTAAAAATACTTTCTTGACAAAATGACTTAATAAATTGTATCGACACAATAATAAATAGTGATGATACACTAATAACATCATACGATAATTGATTGTAGGTTGTCACCGGACACCTTCTCCGTGCACCAGACTGCTGACTGCTGCTATTGACTGCTGAGCACACGGCCCACATATATGTCGCTCGCCTCGTAGCGCAATTATTGTTTTTTATATAAAACTTTTGTTTTGAATTACGTCGTATTTGCTAAATATGTAAATTCATCTATCACCAAATAAGCCCTTATTTAATAATTATAAGATAATCCTGTATGACTAGTGGCTGCGTTTGCGTAAATTTTCGTATTATTCCTTATATGATTATATTTTCTAATAATTTATTAATTCTTTTATATATATGTACACATAAAAAAACCACATTAAGTTTAAACATTATAATATGTGTATTTTTGCAATTGTAATTGATTTAGTTATTCTCTGAAATTGATTTTAAAATAAGAATTATAATACACATGCCAGGTAACGTTACCAACAGGACTGTTTAGTAATTTAAGATTTAATATACTTTTAATATAAACAACTTTATCATGACCTGCATATTATGTTCCCTCAGTAGTGTTATTATGAAGATTGTTGTATGTTTTTTATTTTCTTTTTATGACATGTTTCATTCATATAATTGGTGTAACATGACCACTATCGTGTGTTACAATCCAATTTTATTCTTTTTTATTATTTTATATTAACTATATTTATACACGACTGACTTGTACACAACGACTGTTTGTAACCGATTTTAAAAAAGGTAATATTTGTATGTGGCTATTTTTTAACTTCCGACACAAAAAGAGGGATGTTATATCTTTGACATCGATGTCTGTCCGTGGCATAGTAACTCTTATGTGGATAGCTCGTTTTGGATGCGGCTCTTCTCAATTAAAAGTCATTTTCTTTGTGGTGCTTATCTGCGTTTAGTTACTACCTGTCAAGCAGTGTAGAGTATCTTTAACCCTTTTCTCAAATGATGTAAGGCCAAGAGCCTATAATTACTCGATTGATCGATTCACACAACAATATAATAGCTAAATGACAACTTTTAAAATTTAATAACATTTTGTTAGTATGGAAGTGTTCTGCTTGTTATGTAGAAATATTTTTACACATAAGGATCTAACTACGGTCGTCCGATACAGTTCTTGATTTTTATTCGGTCATCGTACTCTTAATGTGATGTAGGTCCTAGATTTTATTACATTAAAGGATTAAAATATTAAACTGTGAGGTTTCACTTTGTTATTATTATAATTTAAATATTATATATTATAATTTATAACGAGTGTGGTTCCCTTTATTTATTGATAAGAAATTAATAATAATATAAAATAATGAGCTGTCAGCGTCTTGCGATTGATATATAATGTATATTCTGTAGAGACAGTAGCGGTGACAGGAATCAGGAGGCCGCTTGATGGTGGCGAGTGTGTTTTCCTCTCTACTAGCAGGAAGCAAGTATGGTGGTCAGGAGGAAAGCGGATTCTTTTGAATCCTAAAGATATGATGGCTGGACTCATTGAGGAAGCTTTCCCAGAATTTCATCTCATACCTCATTTTCTATCATAACCCAAAGTGCAGATAATTTTAAATATTTTGTTTAATATAAAACCAATTAAAAATGCATAAATAGGAATCGTAAACGAAACTAAGATTTTGTTTTACTTATATGGGAAATACTAAACCTGATTGATTTTCATATTATAATAAAGTGAAATTAGTCATCCAACGAATCATTTAAACTGTGGGCTATGTTTATTATATAAAGTATATATGGAGGTACTACAGTCAGATGCTTCAACAAACGCGGTCGAGTCTTGTTAGTACGGCCTTATATTTTATACATAATAAAATAAAATTAAATAATTGAATAATGAATATTATACAATAACATTTTATGGACGATTAATATATTAGTTGTGTCATATCATACAAATATGACGTTAGAAATATTCTGCTGTTGTAAGGAAAAATATGATGACCTGTTTACTGAGGCGAGGTTGAATAACGACAAGAAGAGTGACGCTCATACACACTACACACTACTAACAGAATATAATTATTAATAGAGTACTGATCCTTCATCATCATCATCATCATCATCAGCCTATCAGAGCCCATTGGTGAGCTAGGGCCTCTTCTCACATGGAGAAGATTTGAGTATTAATCACCACGCTTGCTCAAGACGGGTTTTGCGATTTCAAACTTATAATATTGAAATTATAACTCTAGGTTTCCTCAAGATGTTTTCCTTCACCGTCTGTTATACAAACATTGAATTATATAAATATTTAAATTCATTCTATTTGTTTCCAAGTTGTTGTAAGGGAGTTCTAGTCACAGAAATAGTTGTACAGAGAGACCAGAAAATAAATCTTCTTGGTTCGTTTGGTTTAAGTAAGAATTAAATCATTTAAATAATATATTAAAATGTGATATTAAATGTTTTTATATGAATCACAAGACTATCAAAAGGGTTTATATATGTATGTCTATAAAAAAAATTGTTGATTCAATAGATTTATCTATCCAACACGTTCGGACATTTTTTACTATACATACTGTCGCTGTTATTTCAAATAATCACTAAATTTATTATAATGGATTAACATTTTATATTACATTTATTGTAACTTAATAAGTAATAATAATACTACCACACTCAGGGCACACACTGCGAGCTTGTCTTTCAGTTTCAGTCTGTCTTTCAGTTCAGTTTGTCCTCTGGTCTTATAAACGAGTCACACCGTAGTCCTTGTAGTTACATGCATCTGTTATAATACTTCCAAGACTTAAACTCAGTAGAACCGAATTTATACACGAGACTAGAAGGTAGCTGTTCCGCTGTAGTGTTTGATAAATGTACCCACGTTGAATTTGACAAATACAACGACACAGTTCTTAGTAAATCTTTATTAAAAAAATCATTATGATTTATTAATTATTATAAACAAATCAATGAATAAGTCATTGGATACTAAACTTGATTGTAGTTCGGTGTATAGATCTCTGATATAAAAATAAACAAGATCATTGGTATACAGTACGAATATAACATAATAACACATATCTTTCCATATGACTTACAAATAACTATATGTTTCTATTTTATAATAATGACGAGTTAATCGAAAATGATGTCACTCTCGTTATATAAATTGTATGAAGTTATTTAAATAAAATATTTATTAAGATCATTGGACAGACCACCTCTTTAAGTCATTACAATAGCTTGATGACGCTCACACATTAAATATTAAGAGATGACGTTAGTACCGTGATGAACACCTGTATCCCTACTAATATTATAAATGCGAAAGTAACTCTGTCTCTCTGTTGAACTTTCACGGCTAAACCACTGAACTGATTTTAATGAAATTTGGTACAGACATAGAGTTGTCATTGAGAAAGAACATAGGATAGTTTTCATCCCAGACTTTTGAAAGGTTCTTTTGTAAAAACTCCACGCGGGCGAAGCTGCGGGCGGAAAACTTGTTAAAAATATGTACATATCACTGTTTCATTTTGTATATTACTTAAACATAATATGTAAGATTTTCGAGTGTATTCATTTATATGAAACTAAGGTTTTCGGATACTGCAACGTTCTTTTTTTTTTTATTATTTTTCAACTAAACAATTCTGACGTTTCAGCCCCTTACCAGTCCAGTCATTTTCTGTATTGAAAAGCGGATGTTTTTGAATTTCATTAGAGAAGGCTGGAATTTATTTAACACCTGGGACCCCTTAATTAAAAAAATAAATAAAATATTATGTCCGTAATCATACCACAATACCTTAGGAGACACAGTGACAAATAAAAAGACTAACTGACAGACACTTTTATCTCGTGTGCCCGTGATCACGGATAATGCAAAGGATCCGTAGCTTGGGTATTATGTAGTAATAAAATAAAGAGGAACGCATAGTATCCAAATACCCTATTTTCATCTGTATTTACAAAGTAATGCCTATATAATACATTTAAAAAAGGGGAACTATAAAAATTGCATTGGTAACATAAGTATTTATGTATTTTAAAATAAAAAACGTAGTTATTATATGTAGAAAAATGATTTTTTAAGATTATAACAATCAAGCAATAAATTATTTCAAAAGTAAAAGATAACATATAATAGTAGAAAGTTAAAAATCAAAGTAGATTAGAAAAAATATTATAATGTTTGGTATGTCTTTTGTACATAATAAAAAATAAAAACTAATTATTATCACCGAGTTATTATATTCATATTAATAATTATAAGAGGGTTAAATATACAAATAATACTAACGTTACAGGTAACTCAGGAAACACTAACACATCACCCGCTATAAACAACTTGAACTGAATACATACCCAGTATAAACATGTCTTCATTGATACTAAAACAATAGTTTGTGCCAATTATATAATATTATATATAATGAAAGACATGTGTATTAACAATCACAGTAGAACATTATATTCATCTACAGAATAACATGTACATTGATGTACTATTATATTATTAATTATTATATATATAATTCTTTTGATGTATAATATAAAACATATCCGTAGAATGTTTCATTTAATACTATTTATTGTTAATGTCTATTGGTTACAGTAGCAGTACATGTTGAGGTGTGGGTGGGTGGCGCTTATACAGCTCGGCTCGTTGTTGTAACTGTAATATATATAATATATTATTAGTATATTATCTTGTATTATATATATAATTGATATCATACATATATTGTTTACAATAACTTCTGAGCATTCTCATTCATTTAATAATATTAGCTTAATTTGTGCAACCCAATGGAGGTAAATAATAAAATTAACTCAGTTTGATATTTCAATAAATAATAATTATCCAATATTCGGTCTTGATTAATATTTTTGTGGCTAAGTTGCGATAGTATTAATTACTACCACGATTTCAGCTACATGGATGTATGTTACATATGTATAAGTGTGATTGACCTCTGGTATACAGTCGGGGTGTGTGATCATGGCCACTATGTCGTCTAGTGGCAGCAGACTGTGACACTTGATCTCCGTGTACACGTTCTTCCCGAGGGTACAGCATGTTAACAGCTTTATGAGGTCTATGTGGTACCTGCAAGAAATATGTATATACATAAATATTATTAATTATATGTAATATTAAGTGCATATTTATATTAGATTGTCAAAGAAGCTATCGATAAACCTTTCTTGCATATATATCTTACGCTGTTGTACCTTAATAATGTATACAAATTCGACCATTAAAGTAATGAAAATTGGGTTAGTTAATTTTGTTTTCACACTTTTCGTAATTAATGCATAATTATTTTAAATCCTTATTAAATGCCAGAGCAAGAATATAAATTTTGAAATGATCATATAATGGTATATATATTACGTGAGAGCTTCAGGCATCTCTCCCGTCTGTTTGTACTCCCTCATCATTTTGATGAAGTAGTTGAAGAGTACTTTATCATTGTAGAACACCAGCACGTCCTCGGCGGCATTCAGCATCTATAATGAGACATGAAGTACGATTAAATATATGTATTATATGTACCTTAGTACAAGTATGCGTCGTTCTAAATACTGAGCGTTTCCGAGTTTCCATTCATGAACTCAAATGATAGAATAGATATTTATTAACGAAGATAGATTTATTATTGAACAACAGAGAAAAAATCGTGTTTACATAATACATTGACGACATAAGCATGTGATATAACATAACTATATTACTGAAAATAGAATTTTATGTTAGGTAATATTTGATAGAGGAGCTTTAAAAATGGAGGTGAGCGTTTAATGCGCGTTAGATAGGGACCTCTTAAACCTACTCCTGGGTCACAAGTCCTAAGAGCTATTGAAGCTCCTCTCACTACAACGATAGACTCGCTACCACGGGAAATCATGGAATTTTAAGAGGTTTCGTCTCTTAAAACCATGCATGCTATGATGGGTGAAGGGAGAGGAACTTACTTCTTGCATGACCAGGTCCTGGCTCCTCCGTATATGGTGAGGTCCCGCTCGTACTTAGTTATAGTTCTCAGAAACTTGAGGCAGGCGGGCCTCCCGTCCGCGGGATTCGATGCAGTGTACGAAGTGCGCGGCGACCTTCTCGTTCCCTTCGTGAGCGCACAGAGCTGCGTTCTCTTCGAATATCGAGCACACCGTCTGGGCTTCGCGGATCTGATGTAAAATGTTGTCTGAATAAAACTATCGTTTTGATGCTTTGATCGCTGGCTATACTATAATTGTAAAACAATAATTTAGCGCTATGGTATATATATAATAATAATAATCAGGTTACATTTACCTTGCATATGTTACTTATTTGTTAGATTGTGCACTTTTTATTAATTTCCGGGAAAACCCTAAAAACTGTGCTTTTTTATTTCCCATACAAACGGTTTTTTGACATTAGATTTTACAACTAACTATGTAATATGTCAATCATTCTGTCGCACTTCAAAACACGGAGATTTATGGCTTAAAGATAAACTCCAAAAATATAAATTAAAAAAACGTAACAGATATTTGTGGATTATTATAGAGCGACACGAAGATCGCTGGGTCT